ACACCGTCGCTGAAACTCCTCAATATTCGAGTATTCGCACACCCCTATTTATTTCCCCTAGAAGATTAGCCTGTCGCCCATAATTCGTACAAAAGTGGCTTTCCCCTCTTTCACCCGTGCCTTTGACAGCACTGCGCGCTACTAGGGAGACAAAGTATAGTCACGTGTTTCCCTCTGGGTAACCGATTGGCTCGCAGGGATTGTAGCCTTTCGTTCGGCAGCCCTCTGCCTGGTTAGGAATAGACACGAAGAGAAAAATGGGAAATCTAACCAAAAACTTAATACGGTGAAACAGAGTGTTGTGAAATTCTTAATAGTTTTGAAGGATTGAGAGGAAAACCGAATGCAATGATTGCCCGAGTATGTCTTTATAAATATGAGTGTGAAATCGTTTCTTTCAAAAAGCGATCCCATGTTAATTTTTTTTGGGGGGGGGAATAAATTTTTATCGATTTATGTTTCAAGAACGAGTTCCTTTTTTTAAAAATTAATGTTTATTGGGCTGTACCCGCCTCGGTGAGGATATCAAGCTAGGCAGCTAGAGGTCCGGCTTCTTCCCCAGGAAGCTCAGTGTTTACCCGACACGAGGCTGGATTCTTTAAGTACAGCCCGCTTATAAGGAACGCCACGGGAATTTAAAAAGAGTTTGGATTGGCGACTGGACACACCGCGTAAGGCTTGTCTTCATGATCGCCTGCTCGATTGACTCAGGGTGTGAAGTAGTCTCAGTGGATCTCCACCGCGGTGAGAGCCATTCCGGCGGACATAGACTTTTTCGCAGAGTCGTCGTCACTCTCGCCACCTGCCTCCGCTTTGACGGGGCCACAGTGTGCGAGGGCTTCATCAGTCAAGTCCTCGGTGGCCATAACATTGTCCTCCGTTGTGAGGAAGCTGGCGCCAGAGCCGTTCCAGCGGTGCACAAATTTTGTTGACAGCAGGGGCGTCATCTCCGACTAACGCTTCGTCGCCCACAGAAGCAGAGTCTGGCAGCCTGGTTCGGAAAAACCTACCTCTTTTGAAGCAATGTGCGATCATGTCGCTCCTCACGTCCGTCCACGTGTCACTGACCATTTGCACAGCTTTGGTCAATGTCACCTTGCTGTCCTTCAGTAGACGCTCGACAACCTGGATACGATAATGGACCTTTCAGTTCGCAATAACGCCCTGGTCCATTGGCTGAAGCTTGGCCGTGGTGTTTGGTGGCAGGAAGAGGACTTCCATGGCGTTAAGCAGCGGATGGGTGCGATGCGCGCTACAGTTATCTAGCAGAAGCAGAACTTTTCGTTTCTTGCGTGCCATGTCGTCGTCAAAGTCGGTCAACCATGCCTGAAAGCGCTCCCCCGTCGTCCACAAATTCCATAAACTGCGGCACCAAAGCCCTGTGGTTTATGGGATTTTCCGATGACCAGCAACTTGCACTTGTTGCTGCCATCCATATTCACGCACACCAGGACTGTGACACGCTCCTTGATTGTCTTGGTGCCGGTCGTCTTTTGTTGCAAGCGTCCTGGCCGGGAGCAGCTGGAAGAACAGTCCGGTCTCATGTGCGTTATAAATGTCGCAGTTGGCATACATGGCGAAGATTCGGTCGAGTTGTTTGTCCAGCCAAGCTTGGAACACCGTGTCAACGGCAGACGCAGCCTCACCAACAATGCTTTTGCAGGTGATTCTGTGTTGATTCTTAAACCTCTGCAACCAACCTGTTCCAGGCGTAAAATTATGCCCGAAGAGGAACCGCAGATTGTGCGCTTTGTCGGTAAGAATCGGGCCACTGATCGGGACACTTTTGGTACGCGCGTCCAGAAACCATTTAAAGAGTGTAGCCTTGACATCCTTGTACATTGGCTTGCGTAGCTTTTTGCGATCTGCGCAGGCAGCATCGTTGTCTAGCGCCGCGTCAATTTTGTCTGCTTTTTTAAATATAGTCGACAGTGTCTATTGAGGTATCTCATACTTCTTGGCGATCGCAGATTTCATCAAACCAAATCGAACATCTTCCAGGATTTTCCACTTTACCTTCAGCGACAGTACCTTTTTTTTCGCTGTTGATGGTCCAGGGAGGGATATTTCACCAAATCTGGGGATAGTCACGGTCGGCAGCGCTAGGTTCAGTCGGGTAGGGTTTCGTGTAGTCCGTGTACTTTTGTGTAGGTCCGTACTCAGATGGCAATGGCAAAGCGGAGGAGAAAAAAAAAAACGCGGAGCGGACGGGAACAGCCGAAAACTCGGAAATTTCCCACACGACGTACGCAACGGTGCATGTCACGCGTACTGCGAAGAAGACAACTTACCGAACAGCATGAATTCCTTCCTTGCTTGGACGAAGCGTAGTGATCACCATAGTTGCGTTATCAATATGCTGTTTGTTTTTCCAGTTATTTTCCATAAATATACTGTAAAATATTGTTTTTAGCACTTAATTTGAGCACATTCTTGTAGCTTTTTTTCTCTATCCGTGGCGGGCCTCCCGTGGTATTCCGTTTAAAGCGGGCTTGTATCTCATTGCGGGTATACAAATGATAACGGAAATTGAAATCCATTCGCTATATCCATTATTTCGCTATTTCCGTGTTCGTTATTCGCAACTCCAGCGCGCCGCTTGCCCTCCCGCGGACGAACGGAGAACCAGAGGAGCGGGGACGGCAGCGGCGGCGGCGGCGCGGGAACGGTGGCAGGGACTGTCGGCCTTGATGCGTGAAACCGTTGTAACGAAAAAAGTGAGCGCGTTAAAAAAAGAATCCTTGTGCTCCGCCTTGCAACAGTCTTGCACGAAGGACCGGGATGTTAACTTTTTCGTTAGGGACTTTTCGTGTATAGCATAAGCTTCGGAATTCTGGTCTTGTGCATGACTGCCAGCTCAATCTGTGCTCAACATGACGGAAAACGCTCCCGCTAATAATGAAGAACTCTATAGTACGGTTTACAGAAGGTCTATTCTTTGCCATAAGTAGGAGAAAACTCGTCGTGCAAGAGGTATGTCGAGCAACACAAATCGGGAATGGGTTCGCGTTTTAAGGCCGTAGGAACATGAGCATTTATTCCAAGCACTTTAAAAAGACAGAATGCCCGTACTTGCTTTCAGAATATTACAAAGCAAAAAGGGAAATGATCGAAGCATTTTGAGCGCGTCTGTGTTAGCCAGCCGTTCGTGACGAGAGCTTAGAACGCGCAGTTTTGGCCAGAGGGACCGCAATGTTTCAAATAACACGGTACAAAAAATGTATGGTATATTAAAATATTTATTTTTCATAGAGCAATAAACAAAACCCCTAAACACGCCGATTATATTAATAGGCAGTTTTTGCATAGCGCACGACACCTCTAAACTTCAGTTGAACGTACAGCGCACTGACGTTCAACTGGCGCTACCAACTTTCACGAGCGGCTTGATAGTCGAGTTGTGCAACTTATTAAAAGAGCTTAAGTAAGTGTAAAGGACTGTAAAAAAAACAAAAAAATCTGGGTTTTCTGGGCTTTACTGCAAAACCTCTGCGTTTTTTTTTTTTGTTTTTTTTTTTTCGGTACTCTTTGATGGGTACTTTAGCTGTTTAATATCTTATATTGCGCCGTCATCAAGCCTCTCCTAAAAGTCGGGGCCGTCAGTTTGACGTCAGTGGGCTGCACGGTGAACTGAAGTTTTGGAGTGTCGTATATGTGACAAAGGATGTAAAAACTACAACATTTTTTTTTTAGAGTGATGTGCACGGCAACGTTTCTGGAGCACACTGAAAATTGTGCTTCAAAGGCGCAGCGCGAGCTTGCGGTTGTAATGCTACACCGCACAGTAGCCTGTGGTAGCAAACTTTCTATCAATACCCATAAAGCAGTTTGATTGCGTGTGGCAATACACTAAAACCGAGACGGTGAGCAGCGAGTTATGAGGCTGGGATGCGAAGACATCAATGCTGTGAACGCTGCTCTTCCGAAGCTTGACGGTCACCGTTTGCGGCTCTATTTTTAGAGAACTAAGGGCCAAGCAAAGCGCTAACATATCTTCATCACCCCGAAAAAAATTCTGCCACTAACAGTAACGTGGCCGGTGCCTAAAACGCACTCGCTCACCACAAAGCTTTGCAATTTGAGGTTACTGCAACTTTTAATTAACAGCGTGCTAGTTTTCCTAACGTGCATCCACATCTCCGTCACCTGTAATATGATCCCTCCCTAATCGCTTCGCATTTGTAGACAAATAAATCATTTTTAGCGCGCTGAACAGCGTCAGCGAGCAGGCGCACGGGATATCCTGGAGAATCATCCCCGTCTCTTCCGCCATCTTGGAACTACCGTCTCGCCACCTATAGGGCGTTGGAGTTGCGAATAAGTGGGTTGTACTGTAGGTGCACCAATGTCAAAACCATTATGGTGTTTTTGAGCACGCAATAAATATCAATATCACAATATCTTCGTCGATCGAGTTCAGGTCACAGGTTGGACACAAGCACCACGCCTGCGTTTGGCTTCGACTTGCGTTCAATTGGTGCTTCAATGACTGGGCACGAGCCCCAGCCGAACGCTGCGTCGGAAACAAGAACAAGTAATCGGCTCATTGCCGTCCCCACAAGTTTAGTTTCAAACTTGGCCGCTACTGGTGCGACGGTTGGACATCCACAATACCACTTCGACGCCGTAGCCTGTTTCTCTAAATAAATGAATATACAGATGCCCAGAGCACGCAGTCGGCGGCAGTACCGAAGCGAGCGTTAGCTGAAGAAAGTAAAATGCCGCACAAGGTGCCTCCAGAACGCTTGTCCGTACGCTGTCACATTGTGACGCCAGGAAACGTGGCAGTTTTTAGCGGACCTCCTTCTAAATGCTCGATGCACCTGGGTCCCCGCGTGGCATTTTTTTACTGTACCAGCTCGTTGTACAAAACCCTGTACAGCACCCTGTACACTGTTTGAGTGGCTAATATGTTCGTCTGGGACTTTGCAGAGAGATGAACTACTATTGACGATCGGTCAGCTCTGGTGTTTGATTTTTCTTTCCCGTTTGTTTCTCAGCAGATTCTGGCATGCTGACGTGGGAGGCGACGGTGCGGGTGCGCTGGCCGTGCGACCTCGCATTCGAAGGTCGCGGAAATTCCAAGTCGGAGGCGCAGAGGCAGGCTGCATCCGCTCTCTTGGAGTACCTCGAGGACAATGGCCACGTGGACAGCCACGGAAGTCCCGTGACCTGTTCAGAGTCGGAGAGAAAGGCCCTGGAGAGCACTAGGCATGGTCCGATTAAGATCTCTCTGCCATTGGCGTGCATTCCGACGATGCGCAAGCTTCTCAACGAGTTTGAGGTGCGGCTCCCTGTTTCCAGAGTCTCTTTGTGAGGTTGCCTGCGTTCCGGTTCATAGATTGTGAGGAATTCCCCCCAGTAGCCTTGCGGGGTTGCGTGTGTGTTGTGGTTCACAAATTGCACGATACTCTTCTAAGGCACCTCCTCAGGGGATGACCCCAGAGAAATGACTGCAGTAGAAGTAGGGAACGGAAATTTCTACCTGGGCTTCGCATATTGTAATTGTCCCAAGATGCACCTAGTCTTATACAAGTTGAGAGTGTGCCAAGAATTCTCTGTCTTCAGCATGCACTCACTGCCCTTTATCACGCTTCGGCTGGGCACGCTCACGGGACCCTGAGTCACGGGATTGGAGACGGAAAGCATAGGCTGGAGGAAAAGCTTCTGGTGCATTCTGAGCTTGTATCTGACTATAGTGGCTGCCATCACACGTAAGTTTTTAATGTGAAGCTCGGCACCCTTGTACAAGTATGCAACAATTAAAGCGAATTTCCCATTTTTTAATGGTAAAGGGTCAGGGACGGGGCACAATGGCTAACTCTTGTACCATTGCCTATTAAAGTGAAACATTTTGTGCCTAGGTGTTCGGCATTTCATGAAGTCCAAAAGTAAAACCTGGATAAAAGCGTGGCCGCGCAGCTGCAGACTGATTGGTTGACGGATGGGAGAGGTGGAGCAAGGTGCTGGATGCTAATTGGTTAACGGGAAGACCTTGTGATTAGGGGTGTAGGCAAGGAGGAGCTCGGCCACCTGTGCACACTGAGGGAGAAGAGCTCGAGAGTATGGAAGGCTCTGGAAGATCGCCGGGTTAATCAGCCCGATTAAGCGGTAGTGTTGCCTTCTTCTAGGAACGGCTGTCAAGTGTACACGAGGTACGCTTTAAACTACCTGACGAAGAGCGCCGTGGATGTAGGTATCTGGCGTCTGGAAACTTGAGAGTATTGCTAAACATTATTGATGCTGGAAGGTTTCACGTAGGCAACATAATTGCCTGGCAGTTTGCCATACATTTTATCATTGTACCCCGTCGAAAGGTGAGCGAAAATAAATGAAAATATTGAGGGTTTACAAACGGAGACAAAATGGTTGTGATTAGACACCCCTAATCTAAAGAGGGAAATGGCCACCAAGGTTTGGACCGGCATTCCGTGGAATAAAAAAAAAGGCTCAGCACCATGAAAAGAGCTTAAAACGAATGAGCACATGGAGTACTTCGTTTGTTTTTAACCACGCTGGGATCGCAGAAGCTAGGAAGATACAGTTAAAACTAAAATTAACAAAGCTGAAAGGAGCTGCGAATTACTTCGTTAAATCGGGAATTTGGATAAATCGAAAATGGTATATTTCGAGCATTAAATTCTACAAACCTAGTTTTAATGCAACGGCGTATACACGCGCGCATAAATATAGTCTGTGAAGACTACCCGTACCGCTAGTGCAAGAAGAAAACTTTGGAACTCTCCAGGAAATATATATTTGTTCTTCGGGGCTTCATTTCATGGCATCGGCATCTCTTTCCGGTACCTAACATCCAACGTGCACTCGTATTGCGTCAGGCGTTGGTTGTGCATACACGATCGACAGTGGTGTCAGACCAGGGGGAGGTGCAGGGTGAACCATCAACCTTCCGGATATTTTAAAAATGTAATGGAAACAGCATGGGGGAGGGGGTGGAAGATCGCTCTCGTCCCCCCACCACCATCACCACCACATTCGCCCCCCCCCCCCCCTTCCCCTTCTCACTAGTAGTTCAAGACCGACGACCAGTTCACGCTTTTCCCCCGCTTCCTCCTCTCCCCCCTTTTTCATTGTCTACCGTTACCTGCTTCCTCCTTCCAGGAGGATCTCTGCCTTGAATCTCGAGTCTGGTCGTAGGCCTTTAAGATGCCTCGGACAATCGAAGGTCACGAGACAAGGAAGTGCCTTGTGGAAAGCTTGTACTGGAAATTACGATGACTGAAAACCTCTCTTCCGTTCTTGTCTTGGCGAGGCACACTCTAGCAATGCCCTGCCGTTGTTGTCCGTCGCGCCGGCCGCACCTGTCGTTAGGCCTAATGAGAGGGCAGACCGCTATCGAACGCAACCGAACCGAAACCGAACGACTGGCGAACTCCATCAGTGCCATCTGTTGCATGCAACATCAGAGAAAGGCCATGAAACAGCCAGTACTGTCTGTTAGAATCGACGAAAAGCATGGAGTGCCAACTTTGTTTTTCCGTAGAAACGAAAATAGGGTCGTGCAATCTTTATGCTGGCCCGCTGGCAACAAACTCCGAGTCATTCTAAGCAGAATACTCCTGAAATTGCCCTTCGGATTCAGTTTTTTTTCCGGGAGTGCTTCATTAGATTGGATTGAAAATCCAATTTATTTCTTTATTTCTAGTTAACAAATGGATGGAGCCCAATGAGAATCTATAGAGAAATTAGAATTTGTTTCTTTAATTGTAAATTTCATAAAATCGAGTTTCAACTGTGTGATAAACCTATTTAGGTTCTGATCTGAATTCATTTTTAGATTCTGCTCTAGGACGAGTTTTAACCACATCCTGGCTGTGCATGAGGTTCAAGATGATAAAGATTGATGGAGATTTTGAGTAATATAGCCATCTTGTTCATGGGCCTTCTATTGCCCACACAAAAGGACTAAGGTCTTCACTTTTAGCCAATGATAATTTCTTTTAGTCTCAAATTTTTCACCAAGAGCAGACAGAGGTAATGCTGTTAGTTTAGGAGTGAATCTGTGTACAGCTCGCTTGAAATTATAACTTTTCCTTCGTGGAATGTCCCCCTGTCTCCGCGTTGTGTTGCAGACGGTCGTGTCAAACGCCAAACCACTGCCAGATACCGAAGACACCCTCGAGGACGACCTGGACGTCGACTCCAATGACCTGAACGGATCCGTAGCCGAGCCGATGCGAGACATCATGACTGGACGGCCGCTGTCCGTGACGAGCGAGGAGTTTGACTTCGAGAGGAGCAAAGAACTCTACTTTAACCTTGAGGAAGCTTCTTCAGAAAGCAATTCCTCTATGAATGCGGTCAGGAGATCCCTTCCAATCTACGAATACAGGTGATTTGCCTTTTCCTTGTAATGTACATGTTGGGAAGTGCGAGAGCATAGAAGGTTGGGCCTATGATATTCCTTGTGCTCAGTTTCCATGGGACTTTGGCCTTAAAAAGCCAAGTGGACCTATCGCTCCAGACCTTTAAGTGAAAAGCCAGTCGGTAAACCCCAATTTCTGAATGGCAGAAGCTCTCTAGTTTCCTCCTCTCCATTCCCATGTTGTGGTGTAGCGAAGGACGGAAAGAGGGAGCTACTAAGAAAGGTGGGCATCGCCTCCTTGGTGGCACCTTGGCAAAGCGCCGACCCTCGGATCCCAAGTTGCCAAGTTTTAGGTTTGGCCAAAGTGCGCACAATCTGACGTATTCTTAAATGCGGCAAAGGCCCTGTGTAATCGAGATTTCGGCTGCACATCAGAACATCCTCAAATGGTCAAATTCAATCTTCAGTCCTCTGTTAGGGTATGAAAAATGCCGTTTGTTGCTTTGGCGTGTAAACTCCTCGTTTTGCCTTTAAGAAAGGAGGGCGTGGCTTTTCAGTATTCCAATAAAAAGGGGCCAAACAAACCAAGATTTGAGAGAAGGGGCGAGTGTCTTAACAAACCAATCACAAAGCACACAGTAGGCTCTCGATGATTCAAACTCTCTTATTTGGTACTTATGGCTAATTAAAAAAAAAAAAATTTAAAAGTTTTGGTGGTCCCACTATCTTTTTAATGTATTCATAAGTCGCTTAATTTGAACGGCGTTTTCGTGCAATTCATGTGTTTTGTTCTCGAAGCAAGCTTTGCGAGTGTTGCAGAGGCGCAACACTCGCAAAGCTTGCTTCTCTGCAGTACATCGGTGCTCGGTGAGAAGCGCACTCAACGTTGCTCATGCAGGGCACCATGTGCTGTGAAAACGTGCACAACGCGGAAATTTTCATAGCAACTTTCACAGACGCTGTGACGTGGCGGCATGGCATAGGTCCACATCACAGCATCCACTCAAGTTGCTATAAAAATTGCCGCGCTGTGCCCGTTTTCATTGCTCATATGTCCCCTGCTTAATTGTTCACATTAGACAACTTGGCCTCATGAACAAAGTTAATTTGTTTTGAGTTGTCATGTGCTGTCTGAACAGTCCACAGTAAACAACATTTTTGAGGTATAAATAAACTGGGGTCTTATATTTGACAAATGTTTTATCTGTGACATGCCTGCTTATGATCAGTAGGCCTAGCTATATAGAGGATATCATCAGATATATACTATGTATGTTTAGCTATTCACATGGCAAATCATTATTTTATCCTGCATTATATTTAGATGAATTATTCTATGACGGCGTATTATCCAATGACTGGCTTACAGCGCGTGTTGTACCTGTTTTTAGGAAAGGGGACCCCTTTTCATCGAGCAATTACCAACCCATCTCGTTAACGTTTATGTGTTGCAAGCTGCTTAAGCATATTATAGGTAACGCCATTAGCGAATATTTAATGCGCAAACAACATACTGACAGAGTTTGACACGGATTCAGAAAAGGCTTTTCAACCACCACCCAATTAGGATCACCGTTCATGAATTTGCAAGAGTACTAGACAAAACCGGCAGGTCGATGTTATTTATTTATTTATTTTTTTATAGCGCAGCTTTTAGGCGCTTGTTTCCGGCTTGAGCGGCGTCAACATCGAACCGTAACGCGTTTGCATAACACATCCGCGTCGCTGCAACCATAACGCGTCGGCGTCGGGAGGGAGTGACTGTTTCCGGGTGTGCCTTTCCCCCTGTACGTCATGAGCAACCAACTCACCCGAACCTCTGTGTTATCGTAAAGTGGGTTTGTTCTTACTTACTACATTACAAGAGTTCGTAGAGGTAGGGTGTTGTTCGGAAATGTTAATGGTGTATTCGCACGACGCAGTTTCTTCCCGAGGAGAGGATTAAACGACATCGTGTGCTGTTTAGCACACAACATAGACTCGCCTCGAGGAGCCGGCGGAAAGTAGACACACGTGACGAGATCGCCGCCCGAGGAGAGCGGATATGGCCCTACCCGGGTCGCACGGTGGCAAACCTTTAAGAAACCTTTATTATCTGCCTGACTGTCTACTGATCGAAAATGGTGCCTATTGATAACTTATCTGCTGAACAGACCTATTGCTAAATTACCCAAGCATCAAGGAGAATGCAGGGAATGGTGTTCCAGGTGCCGCTTATGCCTGCTTCTGCAGCGGTAACTGTTCTAAAGCAAAAGCCTAAAACAAATGGCTTCTTGCACGTGCGTTCGTCATTGCTTTATTTTCCTTATTTACTTCAAATCTTTTATACGGGGAAAGTGTGCGCCTGTGGGGCTGGTGTCTGCAGCAGTAACTGTTCTAAAGCAAATGCCTAGAACTAATGGCTTCTTGCAGGTGCATTTGTGAACGCTTTATTTTGGTTATTCTGGCTCGGAGTTCGAGAAGGGTTCAAAGTCTGAACCCGAAGAGCCATCGCTCCCATCTCCGCTACGCTATCTCCGGAGCAGTCGGCACGCGCAGCCATCTCGAAAGTATCACTTGCATGGAGCGTCCAGTTTTACCATTTCAAAAAGCCGCACCAAAACAAACACGACCGGAGTTATATGGTCGTAGTTCCCTACAAACCTACCAGATGGCAGCACATACTGGCGAACGCACCCGTTCAAGCAGAGGCGCGAAGTTTTGAACGAGCAGTCGCGGACGTACAGGTACGTCAGCAACCATGCGGGATGCTCCTGCGCTGACGTACAGGTACGTCAGTGACCATGAAAGGGTTAAGTCAGCTTTCTACTAGGTCACCAAGACATAATCATGAATCCTCTTTAACTCAATATTTTGCACGTACTAATGTATTCAAGTTTTCATATATCACTCGGACTGTAAGTGATTGGAATTTATTGCCTCGTGAATTATTTTCTAGTGCAGATTTTACAGCATCATTGGAAAGCGTTGTCTAATTCTTAAATATAGGAGAATTGTTTTTTCTTTTTTCACTGCTTGCTTGCTGTGCTTTTTGTGTGCATGTGTATAAATATTTTTGTATAAGGTTAAGGTTTATAAGTGTCATACATTTTTGACACTGTAACTATCACATAAGCTGATTTATAGTGACGTTTCTTTTTTTGTGCGTGCATGAGTGTGAGGTCGGAACACTTTCAGCGTCAAATAGTGACGTTTGCCTTGTGATCGTGGCATTGATTGTCATGCTTGATGTGCATGCAATATCTTTTTTTGCCCATCCTGTCAGGTCCCTATGGTCTGTAGTATGTACTAAAAAAAAATTATATTTTTGATATTTTAAACAAAAATTGTGGCTTCCTGGAGTTTGAATTAATGAGTCTTCCGTGTGTCAGTCCTTAAAGGGGTACTCGGACGTTCTCTTTATGGTTTTTGATTTGCCTCAGAATTTACCAGGCACATCAACAAACATTGTTTAACTAGGAACTCAATATATTGTCATTTTCGCAAAAAGTTATTAAATTAACATTTTTTGTCGTTATTGTGGCGACAATAAAAGAGTGATGCCAGTGGCAGGCAGATGTTTGCTCTTTGGGCAGTAAACTTTCTTTTCAACTAAGTACAAGAAGTTTGATGGTGTCAAATGCATGCATTTGATGTTCACTCCAGACCTCGCACAGCAGCACGAAACAAGTCTGTGGCATACGTAGCCGAGACCTCTTTCCCCCTTCCTGTCGTTTTTCTGTTGTCACCACGGTCTCGGGTGATTTCACAATTATGGCATACTTAGTTTTCCTGGACAGCCTGCTGAACTGCAGGCACCACCGAAAAGCAGGGGTCTATTTGAATGTTGGTTTCGCCATCATTTTTGTTTGCCGATCTCGCAAGAACTTCCTAATTTTTCGATGACAAAAAGCGTGCCAGAAAGATTAAAGGCCAAGGAGGGGAAGGGGGGGGGGGGGTTCAGAATATATACTTAGTTGGGGTAGCTCAGAGAATCACTGGAATACCTCTTCAAGCAAAATAATTTGTTGGCTTAGTTGTTTAAACATCACGAAAATAGAAAGCGTGAGAAATACAATGCGCTTGTCTTGTGTAGTCGTATACTTCCCCTCATCTTTCGTGCTTCTTATTTCCGTGGTACCTCTTTAAAGTTTAGCATGCATCCTAGCTTCGTGTTGTCGCACGTTGCATACGATGTGCCTTGCGTGTGCTCTCGGCAACGAGGTTTTGGTGCGACGACGCGGGTTTCGCTCTTATGAAAAGAGAGGTGTCTTGCATTCCTTAATCCACTCGTGTAGCAGCTTATGCCGAGATCCCTAATTAGTTTTCCTCTCTCCCCCACCTTTGTCCAGGGAACAGATTGTGCGCACCATAGAGAACAACCGGGTCGTCGTGCTCACCGGCGAGACCGGGTCTGGCAAGACGACGCAGGTGCCGCAGTTCATCTTCGAGGAGTTCATCAGCAGGGACGAGGGCGCCAGGTGCAACGTCGTGGTGACTCAGCCGCGCCGGATTTCCGCCATCAGCATGGCCGCGCGCATCGCCAAGGAGAGGGGAGAGGAGGTGGGTGCCCAGTCGTCCCTTCACATTTTAAAGTGACTGCACATTCCTTCCCTACGCTACCGACCTGGGATTTTTTGGGAAAGGCCCATTGGCAGTAGTTACGATTCAAAAGTGCCGCATCCTTCTCGAGCTTAAGTTTGGATACGGCGTGGGGAAGCTCGGGCTATGTCCTTTCGATTTCCCGCAGACCGTTTTAACATTTGTAGAGGACAGAAGATTGTTTTCTGGTATTTCGGACAAAGTTTCAGATAACTGGCAACATAGATTGCATCGTTACGCCGAAGCGTAGCTTGTACGGTGTTTCTAGGCAGAGCTAGAAAAACTGAGCACAGCAGAAAAACCGTTGCTGCACTCTCGTTCTCCCGGAGAGGAAGGGCAGTGCAGTAAGGCAATGAGGTGAACCAGAGTTGCATTACAGCAACATCGGAAAGGTGTCTCTACTCTTCCTTCTTCCATCGCAGCTGGGCGAGTCGGTCGGGTTCCAGGTGCGGCTGAGCAAGCAGCTGCTCCGCCGGCGGGGGGGCGTCCTCTTCTGCACGACGGGCATCCTGCTGCGCCACCTGCAGGGGAACCCTACCCTGCGGGGCATCTCCCACGTTCTGGTGGACGAGGTGCACGAGCGGGACGTCTGCACCGACTTCCTGCTCGTGCTGCTTCGAGACGTGCTCCGGGTGAACCCCACGCTCCAGGTGAGGTTCCATCGAGGGCCCCTCCGCGTCGCTTTGTCGTGCCTCGAAGCGAAGCGGAGGTTGCGTGAGGCATCATTGCCACCACATTGAAATATTGTCACGGATGACAAGTGACGAGGCGGTGAATGACCGAGTAAACTGAAAGTTTAATGGGGCGAACTTGTGCCCGAAAATAAAAGGAAAAAGAATGAATAATAACAGAACGTTGCGGGCGTCGAAGGCGGCGAAGCAGCACGATCGAACGCTGAGGCGAAAACTGACTCGACAAGGTCGCGGGCGGCCTCTTATCTAGAGTACGTCGTTATCTCGAAGATTCGGCGAAAGCGGCTCAAGCGTCGCGTGCTCGGGGCAAGAATGAACACGCACTTTCTAGAAAACAAAAGCAGGAATAAATGATAGAAGTTATGTGCGGTGCATGAATAAACGAGAACTTTCTGGAGGTCCGTGACCGAGTGTTGCTTTCTCAGCCCTGCGCGCGGCAATATGGATTTCTGCTCCTCGGGATTAAGATTGGCAGTGACCTTCATTCCCGGAGTCCTATACAGTGCGGGTTCTCAAACTGGCTTCCTAGGAATTTGGGGAAACCCCGAGGGAGCTTGGGAAAACACAGAGAAAACACCCAAGTGTGCTTGGGGAAACCCCCAAGCTCCCCAAGCTGTTCATGGATGCATAACTATGTGGCAAACATTCCTTGGCACTTGCATTTATCTTTGTAAAGCCTGTATAGGCTTCTGCAGTGCTTGGTTGCATTAATTTTGAGATCAGGTGGAGTTCCCCGACTGCTATTAGAGAGAGATAAGAAATAGGCATTCCTTAAAATCAGGGTGTCGAACCAGAACCGAACCGAACCAAAAACCGGAACCGAACCGGTATTTCTTCCAAAACTGAACCCGAACCCGAACCGTTATATTGTTATCACGATGAACCCGAACCGGAACTGAACCGGAAAAAAAATAATGGTTACCGGCTCATGTCAAAACGGTTCAGCCACACGCTGTTGACAATGAATGTGCTATCAATGCCATTTGTTTTTGAAGTGCCGTCAACTGACACACACCTCGCTTACATATTTTTCTTCTCCACTCAGTCTTAGGAATATAAACGCTGCATCCATGAATCTTGACAAACGCTGCATCTATGAATCTTGACATAGAAACCAGTATTGCGCTGGTCGCGGCTTGCACGGAAGAAAAAGAAATGGAAGGCTGTGCAGAAAAAAAAAATCTCGTCACGGGATTTCATTTTCCTACAATCCCGTAAATCCTAAATGCTGGTGTGTGCTCACTTCATAACACGTTTCTAGAACGCGCGAGTTCTTGAAGCTTGCTTCCATCGGAATGAGAAAAGAAAAGGCTGTGGAGTTTGATAATAATGCATCCGGTTTCGTATAGGCACTTAGAAGATAACATATTTCTGAGACAGCAAACTCTTCTATTTTAATATTTATCCTATTACGTCCTTCTGGCATTGCGTTCGGTGAAGTGCTTTTCATATTCCGTATCTGTTTAATGAAAACCTCTTTAAGGGTCTAATTTGAGTTACCGAAGGCTAGTTCAAATAAAGAAAGCTGTATTTTCTCCCCACTGTTCCTTCAATTGCTTACACGCCGAGGTGGCGGGATAGTTAGCGAGTTCTACTTGTAAGTGGGTTTGTAAGGAGGTCGCGGATTTTACAGCTACTGCGTTGGACCCAATTAGATGAAGTCCGAATGCGTAAACGTCGGTGAGGTAACCTTTGAGTGCACATAAAGAAACCATTCCTGGTAGAAATCCCTGAGCCTTACACTATGATGTATCTCGTTTCGTATGTGCTGATTTCAGATGTTTTATTTGTAATTTATTTTGATGTTGCAATTTGTCATTTATAATTTCCGAACCGGTTTGCGGATCGAATTAATTGAACCGGAACTGAACCGGAACAAAATAAATTTACCTGAACCTGAACCGTAACCGAACCCGTATTTTTTTCGGTTCGACACACTGCTTAAAATTAAAAAGTTTGGGAATTCTTGTCTTCATACTCGCAGTATGCTATACTTCATTTCAGTTTAAGTCCAGATGCAGCCGACGCTACGAGGTAATAAGACCAATCGAGCAGCGTCAAAAGCGCAAGTCGCTGGGCCTTTTCATTTATGATTGGTTCAGCGATGATAGACACACTGAAACATCACGAAAATTATGATGATGTGCTTTTGATGCTGCCAGATTGTCCCATCAGCCTGTGCTGTTGGCTGTGTCTGGACTTAAGGTGAAATGATACGTAACAGAGTCACTGATGTTGTGAAAGTAGGAACATGGTATGTTTGTAGGACTTCGTTCACCCGCTTGACTGCCCGACAGGTGGTGGTGATGAGCGCTACGGTGAGTGCCCAGAAGTTCTCGAGATACTTTGGCGGGGCACCCATGCTGAAGATACCAGGCAAGATCCACCCTGTGAAGCAGTACTTTCTCGACGACATCCGCCGCCTCCAGATGGTGCCGCCCGTCGTGAGCAAGGTGAGGGTGGAGCTCTAGGAATTGCAGGACTCGTACCGGGAGGCCAAGGAAGTGAAATGTGCGTTTTTGGTCAATTTACTGGAGGTGCGGGATCCATTGGCCTCTATGAACCACTCAGTTTTAAGGGTGTACGAATTTTCGAATATGCGAATCGCTTAGTAAGTTGCTCAGTAGTTTGATTCGCTAATCGAATTTCTTGAGTTTGGTCTTTCTAATATTTTATAAGTTCAGCGGAGGACGCGCGGTCAGTGCGGAGCTGACAAAAGAGCTGTTTTTTCTTTTGGTGTTAGTGCATGGATGTTGGACAGATAATGCGAGAAACCCATTTTGGTCTTACAGTTCCACAAAACTCTAGCTCGCAGGCGCACAGAAAAAAAAAAAAAATGAATTTCAGAAATTTTTTAGCACGCAGATTTAACCAAGATCGTGACGCAGTCTAATCTGGAATCATAATGCAAACATCCCGTTTGCGCCGCTCACAGATACGAATTGTTGGGAAACCGGAATTTTGTGCCATGCCTAATTTTTATTCAAAAGTAAGGCCTCTTCGTTTTAAACTGAAGCTTCATTGTAAAACGCACTTGTCACACTAAAAAAAAGTCGGCGACTGCATGATCAGTGGCCGATCATGCACTCAGCGATCGGTGGCTGAGTGGTAATGCACACCAGCTCGGAGCACGTGGCGCGAAAGCTTGTGCTGCAGAATACAGGGATCATGGGTTCAATCCCCTCCCCTGCCCGTTTCCATCTGGATGAGCATCGTACCAGCGTGCGATCAAGTATCACTACTGCATGGTGCCTGTTAAAGACCCCAGGTTAGCGGTTGTACCGCACTGGCTAAATTGCTGATCTACAGCTGAGGCACCAGACGCCCACTGAGGCAGACTAACTTCCGGCTGTGTAAACAGACATAAACATACCAATCTGCGTAGGAGCCGTCTCCGTGGTTTCAGTTTTGCTTCCTCCCTCTTTTAAATCTAGGCTCTCTAGTATAGGATTGATGGATGCATAGCGGCTTTTCTCTTTGAATTTGGCTGTGACTTGCGCCACCTAGCGATAATTTTTTTTTTTTTTTGAGTCCAAAGTTTTTTTTAAGGCAGTTTTATCAGATATAACCTCTATCCTTAAAATTACAACCAAACATTGTGGTACGTCCGTTTTTTTTTGTTTTTTTTATATACAGTGCAATCTGCTTATAACAATACCACATATAGCGACGTACTGCTTGTAACAATCAGTTTGTAGACGAGAAACGATCAGTTTCTAGTCAATTTTTGACGATAATCGGTTAGAAGGATTGAATTTTTGAGTTTTCTCATGATCGTTATGTTTACTGCACTGTACGTTTCTAAAAAAGAGGGCGTATCGTGGTGTTTGGTCACACTTTTATCAAGGAAAAACGCCACACATGGCTGTCACTTTGGGTCTTCTATAATGCTTAGGGCAGATAGGTTACTGTCCAAAGTTGAAAAACTGCTTTTATTTATTTGTTTATTTTTGCGCTCCGGAACTTTTATACATTTTAGCTTTCTTGTTTTGTATTCCACATCAGGTGCACACTTTATCTAAGGTTGTGCTGACATGAAAAACTTCCGAATATAAGCGAATAATGCCATATTCGATTCACATATTCGATTCAAAGTTTGAATCGCATAGAGCTTTTCGTCAGCTTCGAGTATTTTTGAAGTTTGAAATGCTGTGATGCATACCTTAATTCAAATTAAATGAAACATCAACGAAAACAGTATGCAATATACGCTTGAGATTAGTTCACCAGCCAAGGTTAGCCAATAACTAGCAATAAAAATGGGGTAGCAGTTCTACTCTTTTGAGTCTGTTATAGTGTGACCATATTCCTCAAGGTAAGAAACGGGACATCCCAGCGGAGGGGGCGCTGTTTAAAGATTGAGATTGTGAGAAAATCTTTAATAAAATAACTGTAACTGCTCTCATTTCAAAACTACCATATTGCACTAATGCCCTAGGTCCTAGGGAACAGTCCCACTCAAGGTTCAGTTGCATGCACTCACTTGGAAGGTCCTGCTTCGGGTCCTTTGTTGGTGTGTGCGTATTTTCCCGACGACTGAAGGTTCCTAAGCAGGACTTTATCCTGCAAGACTGGGTTGTAAAAGTCTGTGCACTTATATATATAAAAAAAAGAAAAAAAGAATTGTGTCCCGAAAACGGGACATGATTCTTTATTGGGACAAAAAGACGGGACGGCAGAAGTGAACCTCAAAAACGGGACGTCTGGTCACCCTAATCTGTTATGAATTGCATTTGTAATAACTAACACCAAAGCGTTATTAATGAGACATGACTGTAGCATTCAAATGAGAATAATTGTACAGGGTTTCTGGTGACAAAAAGACGGGACGGCAGAAGTGAACCTCAAAAACGGGACGTCTGGTCACCCTAATCTGTTATGAATTGCATTTGTAATAACTAACACCAAAGCGTTATTAATGAGACATGACTGTAGCATTCAAATGAGAATAATTGTACAGGGTTTCTGGTGATTGATTATGGTAGAGAACCATCCAAATATTGTTGTTTGTCTTTCTTTGGGAGGTTCTCTCTACTCTCCTACCGTGACTGTTGTGACGACTGCAAGCTAATTGCTTTGCTTCAAAATTATTTGATTCAATTCGAAATTATTTGTACAAAAGAACTATGTTTGCTTCATATATGTTTCGAGCTGAAAAATCGCTGTTCGCACATCCTTAGCATGCTCTGCACATAATATATTCTCATTTGCAGCACACTTTGAAAAATTCCTACAAATAATATTGCTATTCATTAATTAATTCAGTATACAGAGTGGTGGTGGTTCCGTATATACACAGAATATCCCACAATCTTAAACAGGTAGCCAATAGGTACGGAGTCCCCTTAGTGATGTCAGCACCCCAAAAAATGGGTCAAATTTGTTCTAAAGTTCGAGCAAAAATAGAAAATATTACAAAACACAGGTGCCGCACAAAACACGTCCGCCCTTACGTGCCCTGTTCAACCAGAGTGGTTTATAGCATTCCCCTTTCCTGTGGCAGATCCTACGTAGGACAGACGGGACGGTGTATTAATGACCGGTTAAGGGAGCACAATCTTTCTCTAAATTCAACAGTGGGGGGTCACCTACCTCTGCATTGTTAAGCGTGTAAGTGTACACCATCTTTACAAAAGACCTCGATAATTGGCAGATTCACCGAAAAACACACTCGCGAAATTTTTGAAGCCTTTAGTATACTCCGCTTAGGCGAGCGTTGTGTCAGCCATCCTTCTGTGGCTTTAACCGACAAGGAAATAGCCTTTCTACAGTCGTTCGAATGTGGTTGATGGTGTGTGTCCTCCGCGTGCTCGGGTGCCCCCGTGCGAGTGTGGCCTCGGCTCGAGCTGATACCGAGGGCTGTTCTTTTTTCTTCCATCAATACATCGAGTTGTGAGTTTGCGCTTGTCTCTTCTCTCTTCCCTCTTCTCTGTACCTTTCTATTTGTGCACAATTTTAACCATGTTCAGTATACAGGGTTTGTTTATTTTTTTTTTCTTCAAGTTGGTTGTTGATTTGATAACTACTATCAGTATTAGCACGCCCCTACTAATTACACCTGGCAGTTTACGAGGAAAAGGGCATGTAAATATTTGGCCTTTTCTTAACCCGAGGTACTTGAGAACCATCCTAGAAAATGGCGGTGGTGTCGCTATTGTTATTTAGCTGTCCAAAATATGGTGAAAGCTTTGTCTTAGTAGTATAAGTGACAATAGCTGTTTTTTTTACTATGTCTACTATTGCTACTGCTGGCTGATATGTAACTTTTTTTTTTTAATCCACTTATTATTGAAAAAAAGCATATTTATCCCTATACGAAATGTTTGGAGGTTTTTAAGTTCTTGTTTTTTGTAATATCCATAGATGACTGGAATGGCCTGCCTGAGACAGTTTTCAGTGGTCCAAATGCACCTTTATTTCTACAAAACCTTGCTCTAGGTTTGCTTTTGTGATATTGTACTGGTATGATCAGGATTAGTCCATGTCAAACATCCCAGGTGATGATACCAACCATCGTCAATTTTTTAAAAAATCTTGTGGTTGTTTGCTAGATTTCAAAGGAACTTTTGCCCAAATATTTTCTAGAAAAACAGTATCTGGGGTACTTCTGCAGTGAACCCAAACTAGGTGTAAGTTACAAATCTCTAGAAATCTAAATGATTAAGACCAGATAGCTCAATTACTTTTAAATTGTATGCTAGGATTGTCTTTTCATGTGATGCCAGAGTTTGTTTTGTGTTGGTTTTTCTGTAGTAAACAAGCAGAAAATGAGAGATGTTCAACATACAACATACAAAGCCTCATTGACCTTGAAGATATTTTAACAGCTTATCTAGGCTGGGCTGTTGCAACTACATTTTACGCTTAAAATTATTGGAGAACAATAAAGCAAACAGGTTTCCCGAAAATAAATGAGTTGACCAATACTTTTTTTTTTTTGAAGATTCAGACCAGTATTAAGCATCAAGGCCCTTCTGGTAAAGATATGTGGGACAACTCATTTGGTACATGAGCTTGTTACCTTGTAACTATCAAAATTTATAAAGGTAACTTCTGTTTTAAGCGAGAAGATCATTTCTGAAGTTGAGCACTTGCGAAATCAGTTTTGTGGTACCTCGTATTGTACCTCCACTGCACAGCATACACATGTTGCTTGTAATTCGAGACACCCCACATGCCTTGAGGCCCCAAGCACATTAAGTTTGAGTCCTATGCTGCATGTACCTTTAGCTGTGTTGTTATGGAATAAGTAGTGGAATGTGTGTGTTGTGCAGCGGAATGTGTGTGTTGTGCAGTGAAGGCATGCTTGGGTGGAACAGCGTGGATATACCAACCGGATACCAACTACCCAAGCCTCCACATTATCAGTGAAGGCACAGAACAGCACCAAGAGAACCGATTAGCCCTGTGCTCAACTCCAAACATCTGTTTCTCGCTTCAAGCAAAATTTACTCTGATAAAAATTTTTTAGTCGCAAGGGAACATGCCGATGTACCTAATGAGCTGTCCCACATATTTTTATCAGATGGGCTTTGATGCTTAATATAGGTTTGAATCTTCAGAAAAGATTAATATTGGGCTACTTGTAGGTTTATTTTTCAAAAACTTGTTTGTTCTATCATTTTTCGTTAATTTTTAATTGGAAAATGTAGTAGCAACAGCCCAGATAAGGTTTTAAAATGTCTTCAACTTCAACAGTGCTTTCTGTTTTAAATGCTGGACATGTAACATTCTCTGCTTGTTTGCTCCAGAAAATACAAAAACAAAAAAACTATTCCATAATATCAGGGATGGGCAAAATACATGCAAATATGTATCAAAATACAAATACAAAATACTTCGTCAAAAATGTATTTAATTACAAATCTAATTACATTTTCAAAAAAGCATTTAAATACAAGATACAAATACAACCAAATGTATTTGGTCTCCTCCAAATACTTTTCCAAATACATTCCTCAAAATTTGCGTCAGCGATTTCAGGGCATCTGCAATGGGTTTCTGGGTATCTCATTTTAATTTTGCATCGCACGCTCGGGAGTTAGTGTGCGAGGCTCTAGTAACGTAATAACAATATAATCACAAAAAAATGTAATCAGCTTGGACGTAATAGGTGAAAAAAGTAAAGAGCGTCAAGCAGCTTTTTTTGTCGATTACATTTTGGTATAGTCCAACAAAGAACCGAGACGACCAAGACGCGCAGCACTATACTCCGCGACAACTTTTCTTGGCAATGCAGTGGAAGGTACAGGCCTGCGTTCCCTCCCCCATTTTGAGTGTCCGTGGGCTCTCCTCCTCTCCCCGGAAATGGGAAGAGGAGGAGAGCCTGCGCGCACTCAAAATGAGAGAGGGAACGCAGGCCTGTACCTTCCACTGCATTGCCAAGAAAAGTTGTCGCAGAGTATAGCTAGAGCATTTTTTATTGTTGCAACTCGCACCAGTTATGAAAATCTGGACGACCCGCGCATTTAGGCTGTTCCTGGCAAAAATATGGATGTAAATCAGGCTGGAAAACATCACAAGTTGTCACAGGCAGTTATTTAGCCAGTCTGCCTGTGAACGTCGATTTCGTCACTATTCTTGCCCTGGACTAGCACCGTAATCACAAAGTCCCTAAATGCTTGTGCTTGATTCAGAGACACTGCATTCGGTGCAGAACCTAGTTTTCTTCCTGCTCGGGACAGTGACAATAAATTTAAGGGATGTATTTTCGCCCACAAAATTGTATTTAATTGCAATTGTATTTGAAATACCCACGTTTTAGTATTTAAATACTCACGTTAAATACGTTACCCAATTTGTAATTAAATACAAATGCAAAATACACAAAGTATTTGAAATACGTATTTCAAAAACTTTTATTTGAAATACTGTCCATCCCTGCATAATATGAACTGTGGCATCACACAAAAGAACAATCTCAGCAGAGTATTTAAAAAGAAAAGAATGGAGCTATCCTGTGTGAATCACTTAGACTTTTTGAAGATTTTTTAACTTACCTATACCTAGTTCAATTTCACTACCTCAATTTCAAAAAGTGCTGAAAAGATTAAGAATTTTTCTCTATAAAAATATTTTGACAAATGCTTATTTAAAAATGAACAAAGAACCACTATTTTTTTTTTTTTTCGAAGAACTCGGCGTTGGTCGGTAACGGCACCTGGGATGTTTGGCACGAAATGACCAATGATCGCATGTTCTTTGTGCCCTCTTCTGCCTTGTCCAGTTGACGGCTAGCAGTTTAAAATAAATAAATTTAAGAAAAAATAAACACGGAAAGGACGGTTTTTCAGTCTTTATTATCCAAAAGTTCTGGAAGCTGACAGGGCGTAAAAGGCACATAGCTTCCACCGCCCCGTCTGCTTAGTGGTGGGTGGGGTATGGCCGAGGTCTGATTCCGACCGGTCCGTTTCTTTGCGTGCACGCCAGGCCAACGCCGATCCGGTGAAGTACGTCCCTGACGTGGTGACGCACCTGATGAGGCACCAGCCTCCTGGCGCCATCTTGGTGTTCCTGCCTGGCTGGAATGAGATCTCGAGGGTGCGGACGGCCCTCTGCAAGCAGCTCCAGCCACCGGACGGGGACTGGGTGCTCCCGCTGCACTCGCGGCTGCCCTTCAAAGAGCAGCAACGGATCTTTGACACGCCTCCCCCTGGTGAGAGCTTGCGGCACGTTTTTGCCTACCGGGTTTACGGAAACTTGCAAGTTGGCTGGACTGCCTCCAAGGGCGGTTTGTTCATCTCGCAGGCGCGGTTGCGGCCAAGGGGGATTTTTATGTCACGTGGCCAGCTCCATGGGGACAAGGAAGTACCTAGCGTCTTTGCCTAAGGGCAGAGATATCCGTGTCGTTTCGACTACAAAAAAAATTTAGCTCGCAGAAGCTGACCGCAGAGGGTTGCAACTGGAGTCCAACTAACCACTCCTTTATACTTCAAGAGCAGCAGGTAAGGTTACGATTAGGAAAGGTAAATATGAGTCGAAATAAAAGAGAAATCACGCGAGATAAAAGCGGTGTCAGTATATTTATTTATCTGCGCCAGCGACAGATTTTTGAGCCTTCTGCTGTAGTGAGGGTTAAGAGAGCCGTGACTTGTCGTCGCAGCGTAAAAGTTTCAAGTTCAAATCGCGTCACAATTTTATTTTTTTATTTTGCATGTGTGTTTTACTTTTTAATTGTGATCCATTTTATAAATCGTCCTTGCTGTGTCTCAGTTTGTTTTTTGCTCAACATCTATTTTAATGGTTAGTTTCCCTAAATGTAGCGAATGTATTTTTGTTTCACAAAACGTCTGGCTAGGCTGCCTGAGGCGTGTTTTTGCCATTTTCGGTTCTGCAGCACCTGCATTTCTTTCAACCGTTTCTTGACCGATTGCTGAACGGTGCCACCAACATACCGACCGACCGGTGGACTGACTATGGCTGATTCGCGGACTTATCAACACTCTTTGTTTGTGTGTGCCAACCTAGAAACATGTCATCTAGGTAGAGACGCCTTGCTCGAACCCTGGATATGTGAAAGTCATACCAATGCTGTCATATTGGTTTCCTTTTAATGAACATTATGAAACGATTGTATTAGCCTGGCTTGATCTTTTTTTCTTACGGTGTGTCGATTGAGCAGGTGGGACAAACAATAAAAACCGTGTAAGGCCCAGTGGTACAAGTGGATGATCTGGATGATTTGTAAAAATGATACCAGTTAAAAAGTAAAATGCAAAAAAAAAAAGAAGAAATTTGCAATTCTTATTGAATTTGGAATGTTCACGCCATGACGACAAGTCCCGGCACTCTTAGCCCTCGACTACAGCAGAAGACGAAAAACTCTGTTGCTGGCACAGATATATAAATGTACTGGCATCGCTTTTATCTTGCGTGATTTCTCTTTTATTTGGCTCATATTTACCTTTTCTGGTCGTAACTTTACCTGCTGCTCCTAAAGTATAAAGGGGCTGTTACTTGGACTCCAGTTGAAAGCCTCTGCGGTCAGTTTCTACTAGCGAAATTAAAACTTTTGTACTCGAAGCGACACAGATTTCACTGCCATTAGGCAGGGACGCTAGGTACTTCCTTGTCCGCATGGAACTACATAGTCACGTGGCATAAAAATCCCTCTTGGTCGCAACCGCTGCCGCGAGATGAGCGAATTGCCCCCGGGGGTTCCTCGAATCTTCAAGTCCTCTCAAACGAGTCCACCTCTACAGTCTCTGACTTAGTGAGTATGACAGGGAGGTCTCTCGGTTCCGCCCCCAGCGCGAGCTTCCTACCTTCAACGACACCTGGTTTTCTCGCGAGCTTTGGGCATGCGCGCGCAGCCAAATCACCAAAGAAGGCGATGTCTGCATGCTGGAGGGGGGGGGCATCCGAAAAAGACATCCTGCTGTTGTCGTCCTGTCAGTAACTCTATATTCTTTTTTTAGGGGAGGAGAGACAGCATTATTTAAAGGCATGACTTTCAAATATGCTGATGTTGGCTGTAAGTAAAGCTTGGGAAGCGCTTCTGTTTAGACAACATGCCCAGTATTGCCAACGATGTGTCGTATTTGGCGTGAGAGTGCGTAAAACATTGTGAAGCCTTGATACTTTTCCCGAGTACAGAGGCTTCCAAGTCTACCGCCATGTCCCCTTGCATCGTTTCTCCGCATGGCATCTGGGAGTAGATACCTGTTGCTTCCAGAGAGTCTGTATGCTCATTGAGAGTGTCCAGTATGCTCACCTAGTAAAGTGTGCGATAAACACACTCTCACAACAGAAAGGACAGTTTCGGCTTGGGCACATAAGGTGGCTAGCCCCATCGCCATCGTGACCGTTTGTTTGCGTTCGCCTTTTCGGTATCCCTATCACGCACATTCTCTTGTGTCTACGGTCTTGTGTTTGTCGTTTTAACATGGAAAAAAAAAATTCCACTACGAGGGTTTATTGAAACAAAAGGCCATCATGCTGGCGGAAAAAGATAACTGAGCAACACTGCATGGCCACGCAATCCCAGCCACCCGACGAGCTCACAAAGTGTTGTTTGAAAGACGACCCTGCCAGATGCAACGGCCGCGCACTCGTACATGCGCAAGAAGCACGGCACTTAAAACGATTTAGACAGAAGCAAGTATTAATTACTTCTGTAGACAGCGAAGAACCATCGTCGGACTCTGACAACGGGGACTAGTGCGCGGAATTTATTTTTGTGTTGGCGTGCGTTTCATAAAATGTGTTTTATGAGGTATGTGGTCAATCTCCATTATTTTACCTGTGCGGTAGGATCAGCAGCAATTTACTTTTAAATTATCTGGAAGCTGAATCTTGCTGCACGTTAGAATTGCGAGTGATTGTAATCGTGCAAACATGGTATCTGTTCAGAGGAGTGGCACAAGTGGAGAAGAATCTCAGTTAGCCATATTTTGCTTCATACTTAAGGCCCGTTCACACTCTTGCAACCGAGTGCGACCGAGAGAGACCAAACCGGTTTTTAAGCCTCTTGCGATCTCTTAGGACCAGCTCCGCTCAGTGCATCCGGTCCCAAGAAGTCTTTCTCGGTCGTACTCGGTTGCAAGAGTGTGAACGCGCCTTTAGTGTACACCATTAATGCAGCTACTGGTACGAGTGCATGACTTCACCTGGAGTCGGATTTTCATCGGAGCACATGCATGTAAAACCCAGGCCTAAATCAAAACACAGGCTTGTGCCAGCGGCTTTGACAGCGTATGAAATGGAGCAGTGATTTCCACACCCTAAGAAATGAATGTTTTTCACTTTAAACTGTGTTTTACCATGTCCGAGTTGTGCATTGATGCCTGCAACTAGGAACTAAGCACACCCCTGTTTGTGCATTATGGGTAACAAAGTCTCGGCGAAAGCTCATTAATTCAACCCCTGCTAATTCGGAAATTTGGATAATCTGAAGTGCCAATCCAGTCCCAGCGAATGTGTGTATTAGTCAATGGCACCAAATGCTCGTTAATTCGGAGGCAGTTGGGCGCAGTATGGTTTATTCAGACGAATTCGGTAGGTGGCGCAAGCTACCGCCCGTTCCAAAGGGTATGACCGCTATCCATCCGAGGTGCACACGTGATTCTTCCTGGTTCTTTTCATCTCGTCCGGTTCTCCATGCTTCATGTTATTTTTGCTGACACGGACTGGTCTTTAGAAACTTGTGCGGAGAAAAAGGTGCTTTCGACGGCAATGGAATCAATGACTGAAGGAACGTCGAACTTTGCGAGCACATCGCTGCATATAAGCCAGACGACATCTTAAACGCAGAAGGGACAGCATTGTTTTACAAAGCCCTGCCAGAGAAAACCATCACACTGAAAGGAGACCCCTGCACAGGTGGCAAAAGATGTAAAGAAAGGGTTAAAGTTCTTATTGGCACAAACATGACTGGTACAGATCGCTTGCCACTTCTTGTGATTGGAAAGGCGAAGAAACCAAGATGGTTTCAATAACCTCAAACAACTTCCCATGGACTATTAAGGGGAGACACTGGCGTAATTATTAACTTTTGAACTCCTCGTCCGATTTTAATGAAATTTGGAGAGTGCATTTATGAGCAGATGCAGGGGCACTGTGCAAACTTTGACTTCTATAGGAGAATTATGTAAAAAGTTACATATTTGTGTATGAGGCTGTGGCACCTTTCCTTAGGAAATCTATCGTATGAAAATGAAATGTTAAACCACTGTTTTTATTGCTTGGATATGAAGTAGAGGGTATGTGGCTTTGGGCTATCTAATTTGTATGATTAAAATGTAAATATTTCGGAGAGAAATTCTGTCTCCAAAAATCATATGCACTTTCTTTGAATGCCATTTTGCCAAAATGTCTTTTTTTCTCAGTGATGACTTCAACTTAAAACAAAATGAAGTAGATAGCCCAATTCCCCAGTAAATTTCAGTTAAGAAACACTTTGAACGAGGAACCTGGATATGTTTACCATCAAACGATAGATTCCTTGCTACAAAGTTTGCAGCAAAAAAGTGAAACTGAGAAAAACGCATTCAAACATTGAGCACCTTTACTTTATTAGTTTGGCCCAGTCTGTGTCCACTAAAAGGCGCCGGCAGAGTAGGTCTCCCCTTCAGCTGCCTGGTCCCTCTGTGCCTTGGCGATTGCTGCCAGCTTCCTTTGCTTATGGGCCACTTTCGAAGAGTTGAGGGCCTTCTGCTTCGCCTTGGAGACCTTGACTTGGAGGGCCTTGTCAGCGTGCTGAACCTGGTGGCTTCCGGGCTCGATTCCCATTTCATGAAGGGCCCTCTCAAAGCCCTTGGGGCCCAGGTTGAATTCCAGGACGGCAAGAGCCACGGCAGTTTCCACAGTTCTTCGAGAGGCGAAATCCGTCTTGGGACACCGCCTCCACACCAGAGCATTGAACGACTCGTTGTTGTTCTGCGTTCCCATCCTAGCACACCTCTCGAGTAGGTCCTGCCTTGAGAGTCTATTGTAGAGGGGCACCAACTCCTTTGCGATGTCTCTGGAGAAGGCAGGGCGGTGTGGCTGTGGCTTCGTCGGCTCTCCTGCTGCCTCCAGCGCTTTCTGGCGATTGAAGTGACACCAGGAATGTTCTCCATGAGGGCAGGCCTGATGCAGGGGGTCTTCATCGGTGGAGTAGCTGTGGAGGAGGCTGGCAAACACTGCCTTCTGCATGGCTGGAACGTCTGGGGCACT